TTAGAAAATCCTTTAATAAAACATTTCTTTTTATAAAAAGGTCTACCAAACCCTCAGTTTGAGTTCAGACACACTCGAGAGTATGCCTGAATCCCTCAAACCAAGCCTCTGATACCAACTTGTAACGTCCCAAAATTTATAACCAAAAATTTCACTTTTGTATTAATAAAACCATCAACCAACATGTTTATAAAATCATAAAGGAAATCAAAGTATGTCAACAATCATCTAGAAATACATCAGAGTCAAATAAGGCGGAAAATCATGGTGTGTGCGATGCGATCATCCCAAGCTCTTCTCCCTCGAACCGGAAGTACCTGAAACATAAATTGAAAACCGTAAGCACAAAGATTAGTTAGTTTCCACCAAATTACCACATACCATACATAAAATGGGCCCGACCTGGCCTTCATCGGGCCCCACCAGATACAGATCTGTCAGTGACATGCGATGTTCCCCGCCCAACACACTCATCAAGCCCCGCCTAGCATCAGGCCCCACCTGACAAACAAACGCATACAATACATACAAGAGTCACACATACAACTAGCATTCTAGTAACAATAATCTATAGGCCGACATTGGTGCCTTCGACCCGCTTAAAGCATTGTGAGAAGACTCACCTCGATCAACTGATAAACAAATAACACTTGGGTTGCTGAACTATAAAATCCCTAAACTAAATCATAAATAATAAAACCCTAAACGCTATTAAGCACTTACTTCTTTAAACAAATAACACTCGAGCGTACGCTCCATTCAGCCCAAAATGCTATTAAGCACTTAATGCTTTAAGTCCAGATGTCCAATTTGCATATCTAGGTCTTGGGGGTGTCTTAAATAATAAAGTCACCAACTTGATGCCTTTGCATAGCTCAAAGAGACTCAAGTTCAAGATTTAACATTCTACTTCCATCAAATGATCATTAACTCATACATGGTTGATCTACAACCATCAAGACGAAAACTTTATAAGCTAGGAACCTCAGGAACATCAAGGGAACAACTCAAATCTTCTTGAGTAACATTTACTCATAAGAACTCACTCATGGGACCAAAATGTGCTCAAAACTTAACTAGTCCTAGATCTAAGAATGAAATAGTCAAGGTCAAGACTTTATACCTCTATGAAGCTAAAAAGGATGGACGAACCCTGGATCTACAAGCTCCTACTTGATCAATGCTCCTAACCAAGCTTCTTCTTCTTCAAGATACACCAAACACACACCAAAACACACACAAAGATCAACTCTCTTTAGAAATGGGTTAGGGTTTCGAGATAGTGCTCAAAAAGGGCAATGGAGGTTGATAAGGAGAGAGCCTTAGGACATAAGGTGTTTAAATAGGGTGCAAACCCTAATAATTAGGGTTGCCCCTGATCCATATACGCCCATCGTATCAGGGGGGTAACCTCGTGTCTAGCACTCTTCGAAGTACCCCAACGTATGAGGTCCTTAAGCCAAAATAAAAGAGAAATAAACAGCTAAAGAATTTACCTGACATACCGGGTGTTACAAGTGTGGTAGAGCAGGGTTGTCGGAGGCGGCAATGGTTGGGATAGTTGCATTTGGCCAGATTTTTGTGTAGATTACACTAAGCTGGGGTGGGTTTTCGTTAACTTCTTCTACAAATTCACACCATGGCTCTAATTGATCCTCAAAACCTCATCAAGCCACAGACCTTGAAGTTTATCACAAGCAATTAATGTGAACTAGCAGTTAAGCAATCTATTTAGAGCCTCTTAGACTCACTTCAAACCCCTAGCCCTAGTTTATCTGCATTTATTTCGTCATTTCTCGAATTAATGCAAGCTAAACCTAACCCACTTCTCGAAAGTATCTGGGTTTTGTTGGTTTAACTTTTCATCAAAAAATTTCTCCAAAAGATGATATCTTAGATCAACTTCTATCATTGAAAGACCTTTTCCAATCTATAACAACTTGTTCGACTTCATGTAGTTCTTCAATGTATAATATACAGTAGTTGTGGATTCGAAGAGAAAAGTATATTCAAAACGAGGAGAGGATGAGTTAGGATATGTGGTCAAGAGGAACAAGATATGTTGCCTTGGTTGTGGGGTGGGGTGTTAAGTTCAAATTAGTTTGTATTTTTTAAATAATTATAATTTAAAAATAAGGGTAAATGTTATTTTACCATGGTTTAACATCAGAAACTTAACACCATTAACGACAGGGACTAAATGTGCAACGTTTAAACATATCAGGGACAATCTGAGTTAAAAATTAAAAATATAGACTGAACATGTCTTTTGACATCTGTACGAGAACAAGAGACGACTCATGTAATTTACTCTAAAAATTAAAAAGAAAATATAAAATATGTTAAGTAATTAGATAGTTGATGGTGAAGTGATAAGGGGAGGCTTTTTTAAGACTTAAATGGTTTTTTTTTTTAAATATGCTTCTAATTCTTGCAATCATCAATTTTCCAAATTTATCAATTTAGGCCCTTGTAGTATCAATGGCTTACCTTTCTTGACCGTTTGATTTAGCAATGAAGGTATTTATTGGGTTGATTTAAATTGTTTTGGAGGGAGTTTGAGATCAGTTTGATTTTAATTTGAAAAAAAGACAAATTCTATTTCTAGCTAACAGATAATCAAATAGATTAATTGTCATCATGTGCAATATCAACTATACACCAGAAAAGGCATGTCTACCCTTTGATCTACAAAGATTTGATTTTTACTTGGTAAAGAGCAAAATGGAAATTTTTCATCAACTCTTTTCCTCATTTATTTATGGTAAAAATCCATCTATATAATATTTCCACCTTAACGCTCTTGCATAAATAGGTATTTGTGAATAATCTATCTGTAATACTCTTTCCAAGCAAAAGTAAAGGATGAATGATGATGGGAACCCAAGGGCAAACGAGGAAACAGAATGTTCTTGCACAATGTTGTGGGATTGTGGTAGCCCTTTGTATGATTCATTTGAAGTGGTAGCAATTCATTATATCATCGATAAACATCTTGTCAAGCTTCCATATGATCTCCCATACCATGTCATGACATCATCATCAGCAACATCAGCATCTTCATCAACTCGTTCAGAAATGAGGGGTAAACTTCGAAAATTGAGAAAAGGATTTTCTTTCATAGCTTGCTCTATAGTTCATATTGTGGAGAGAAAGATAAGGGTGAAAAAGAAAACAAATAATTAAATAAGAATGGCAAACATGTTGAAAAGATTTCAGATTTCTCTTTGTTATATTGTTCTACAAAAGTGATAAATCTGATCTTGATTATGATTATTATCATATTGCAAGTTAATTTTTATGTTATTTTGTTATTTTATGAAATTATATTAACATAGACTTTGATTTTTTTATTTTATTTTATTTTTATTTTTTAACTGTTATGAAAGTATGTTGATTTCCTATAGTTGATCGGTTTTCTTCTCCGGTATAAAACTGAGTTTGCAAATTTGATTCTTGTAGCGTTAAGGTGGTATTTACTTATATAACATATACTGTCAAAAACACATAAGATTGTATTATGTCACATACTCACATATATAGTAAGAAACATAAAGTTCGTTTATTTCGGTTGCAATCTATTATCTAATATTAAATTTCAAACATCTCCTTTTTCTAAAAGAAAAAGGTGTGAGATTTAACGTTATATAAATTCACATTGTTTCTTTCCACTTATTTCGTTTTTATTAATAGTATTAATTAACTCGTTGGTGGTAAACAAGGTTTTTGAATTTTTCAGATTCAATGAGATTTATTTAAATAATGTTTAAATATCGAAATAAATTATTTATAATCATTATAACTACATTTTGTAATGACAAATAACAAATTTATGTTGATTTTTTAATTCCTAATAAACATTATTGGTTTTGGTCATATAAGTTTACTTCTAGCGAATTAAATCCCAAATAACCAAAAGAGACAATTTCAAATAATTGTTTAGCAGGTGGAGCTTCTCAATCATGTAATTCTACATCTTTTATCAACCGAATTTGCATTTTACAAATAAATAATAATGCTTAGATTTTTGTCCATTATTGTTATTTTTAAGTGACATTTACATTACAATTAATGTTTGATAACTTATGGATAACTTGATCCCTAATTTTTGACATGATTTTAAACATTGATTTCGAATATAGTTTTGAAACAAAAGCAATTGAAAATATGTTTTTTTAAATGTATCATTTTATTTCAACAAAATCACGTATCATTTTCTTTCAACAAAATCATATGGCAATAACTTATATGTGTGAAATGACAATTTTCTCCCTCTTGGTTTGGAAAAAGATGCAAGTTTTCCCCATAAGAAAGCCAATCACGGCACTACAAATGAAGATCCAACCCCCATAGAAGAATGGCAGTCACGGAAGCCGGAAGCCCCCTACAACATGCCAATAATTTTATGTGTTTCTTTGTTGGCAAACACATGCCCTTATATATATTATTAGAATTAGAATTAGAATATGACAAATTTCTCATGAGCAAAAAACACACAAGCCCACTGACCTAGCCAAGATCAAGGAATCTTTTTGTCTTACTGTAGACAGACATATGGCTTTTAAATTGCCAAAATGACAAAATTCTCCCTACTAACTAAAGATCCAAACTTCCCTAAACAGGGCAATCAGGGAAATTCGACTACATACCCCAATGATCAAGCCAACATCAATGAATCTTCTTGTCTATTGTTGATAAACACATGTTTCTTTTTATTACAAAATGATAATTTTCTCCTTACTAACTAAAGATCCAAGCTTCTTAAAAAGGGCAATTACGGAAATTCAACTACATGTAGCCCAATGATCCAGTCAGGATGAAGGAATCCTTCTATTTTTTGTTGAACGAACACATGGCTTCTTAATATGCTAAATGACAATTTTCTGTCTACAATACATCCAAACTTTTTTAGGAAAAGGGTAACTTTGGAAATTCACCTACAAACACCTTTAAAAGGGAGTCTTTCTTATTGACAAGGAAATTCTCGGTTAGATACTTAGATGGGCGACATACAAGAATTTGATGAAGAGAAAAAGGCAGAAGAAGAACAAAAAGAAGATGGATTAGCTTCAAAGATATGGGACTGTGGTAGTCCTTTGTATGATTCATATGAATTGGTGTCAATTGCACATGTTTTAGATATGCATCAAATGATTTTTCCATATGTAATCAACAGATCAACAAGGTCAGTTATTCATCCATCATCTTACTCACCATCTTCATCGGTGCCACAGTCATTAACGATGTCTCATTCATCAAGAAGGATGAACAATTGTTCATTCATGCCCTCCTTCAAGCCATGGAAGATGAGGATTACCATTGGCAATAAGGTGAAAGTCGGGATTTCGAAAATAAGCCACATAATTGTTTCATGGAGGAAATGATTGTTCACATCATTTCGGTTATATCTCCTTTCATAGTTTCTTTGTTCATGTATGTTCGTATGTATAGAATTGCAAACTTCTAATGCATATAAGTTTTCAACAGATTGATATAATCAAGTAGATTATAGTGTTCGATGGATATCATATTCAATTTGTGTGTGTGTGTCGGGGGGGGTGGGTGGGTCATATGGTGTTAGACGATTTGTTTGTTTTCATGCTATGACACATATGTGGTTCGTAAGTTCATAGTTAGGCATGGTAAAATCCTACAATTATATAGAAATTTGTCTATGAGGTTTTTTCTATACTCAATTGTAGCAAATTGCATAAAAACGAAGATTAGTCACTAAATGACCAAATACATTGGAATACTTATACTAAATAACCAACTTTTTAAAATTTGTAGCACAACGATTAAAGTGAAAAAAAAAACAAAACAAAGATGATAAACTCCAATACACTCGACTGCAGATTACAGGAGCCAATCAATCGGTTTTATACTAAACAAACATCTTAGTAATAAACTAGGATTCTAAATAGGAAGACAACTATACTTTCCTATTAAACACGTTCCTTATTGCTTAAGGAAATATGTGGAAGACTTGGACACACACACCAAGTTACTTGGACACCACTCCAAGTCATTGACTTCTGGACCAAGACACGCCTTACAGCCACACCCGATTGTCAGAAGTTCGCCAACAATCACCCCCAGAATTTCTAAGTCGAGAGTAGTTCTTGCACGCCAAGCAACACTCTCATTTCTGCGAACGTTATTCGAGCTAAGGCCTTCGTAAGTGGATCTGCTTGTTGCTTGTCTCCCAAAACATGCTCAACAATCACTTGATCGTTTTCCACACGCTCTCGAATGAAGTGAAATCAAGTGTACATGTGTTTGCTTCTTCCATGAAAGACATGATTCTTTGACGGTGTAATTGTTGATTTGTTATCTATGCAAATCAGCACCTTCTGTTTCTTCATTCCTGTCAGCTAAGCTAATAACTCCCTTAACCACATTGCCTAACATGCAGCTGTAGTAGCTACCATAAACTCAGCTTCACATGAGGATAATGCTAATGTATCTTGTTGTCTATGTGAATCAACACCTTCAGTTTCTTCATTCTTGTCAGCTCAACTAATAACTCCCTTAACCACACTGTCTGACATGCAGCTGCAGTAGCTGCCATGAACTCAACTTCACATGAGGATAATGCTATTGTATCTTGTTTTTTGGAGCACCAAGTGATAGGTGAGTCACCAAGGTAGAAAACATGTCATGTTGTACTTCTACCATCATCAGCATCAACATTGTGATTTTTATCACTGTAATGTAGCAATCTCAAATCATTACTTTGTTTATACACTATCCCAAAAGATGGAGTACCTACTTTCCAAGTGTTGTTCTTTTCAATGGAGTCAATTTCAGCCTTCATTGCATCGAGCCAATTCTTGTTCATTTTGGCTTCCTTATAATTCTTTGGTTCTTCATCGAATGTCAACATTAAATGATCCACATCTAGCTCGTAGTCATTTAATCTTCTTGGCAACACTGAATTTCGAGTTGAGCGGCGAGGTGGGTCAGAACTTGCATAATTATTATGATCATCAATGGGTTGCAATGGGCTACTATCATCGTGAGAAGTGTCATCGGTTTGGTCGGTTTGGGCCGGATCCGTGAGTTGTTCGGTTTCGGTTGCAGTTGGGCCCGAACCACCATTATCTTGGGTTGCTTGATCATTACTCCACAAGACCGAAAATGTAACCGGTCCATTTCCATCTTGATTTTCGGGTTCATTACTCCATTTTCATGTCATATTTTCATCAAAAAATGCATCGGCACTAATAATAATTTTATTTTCTAGAGGATCATATAACCGAAATCCTTCCGAATTGAGTTCCTTTCCAAAATATACCAACGGTCGGGACCTATCATCAAGCTTCTTTAAATGTTTTGAGACTTCTCTTTCATATGCAACACAACCAAATACTCTCAAGTCTTCAAGGTTTTGTTTTTCACCATAACATTTCTCGAATGGTGTAGCACCTATCAATGCTTGAGTAGGTGTATGATTTATGATGAACGTTGCATGTCGTACCGCTTCGTCCCAAAAGTGGTTTGGAATATCTTTCGTTTACATTAGGAACCGTGTCATCTAGAGTAGAGTCTGATTTCTCCGTTCGACTATACCGTTTCGTTGAGGTGCATAAGGAGTCGTCAACATACGTGAAATCCCTTCTTTGTCACAAAAACGGTTCAACTAATGCGATGTGGATTTTCCACCTCTCTCTGTATGGAATGTATTAATCTCTATACCGGTTCGTTTTTCAATCGATGTCTTGAATCTTTTAATAATTTCGAATGCATCACTTTTATGCTTCAAAAGAAAATACCACATATATCCAGAAAAATCATCAATAAGTACCAAAATGTAAACGTTACCTGCTTGAGTGGGGGGATTAACTTGTCCACAAATATCTCCATGTATCATCTCGAGGATATTTGTAGCTTTATACTCGTCTTTCTTTGGAAATGATTGCTTCGTTTGCTTTCCAATTATGCAATATTCATACAGTTGGTCTTGATGTTTGATTGCTGATACCTCTTTGGCTAACTTGTGTATCAAGTTTACCGTGCCAAAGTTAATGTGGCCAAGTCGTGTGTGCCATAACCAAGCTTCCTCATTAAACTTGGCTTGCCAGTAATGTGGTCAGGGGCAAAACACAAGCATTAGAACTAGGGGGCGGTATCAAAACTTCGAAACGAAATTATATAAACAAGTTCTATTCGGTTCAAAATTATGACATATCAAATCTGTAAACAAGAAAAATAATATAAAAATTGTTGTTACATCGTTTATCAAAATGGAACGCGACAATCTTTATATTTTTAAAATCTTGTAAAATTGTCGCTAAACTATCTAAACTAAGGGATGTATAGAGATTTTAATTACTTTCATATCATAATAAATATATATATATACAAGTTTTAAATATTATTTTAAGATTTCTGTTTACATTTTGCTAATAAATCAACAAATAATAGTTAATAAGCATATAAAATTTATATTCAATAGATTCTGGTAAGTAAAAGGTATATATGATCGATTCTACAGTAAATAGTAAACTTTAACTAGTAAGCAAAATGTATATATATATATATATATATATATATATATATATATATATATATATATATATATATATAATGTATCTTAATTCAATGAGTATTACCTATCAGCTTTATAACTGTATAGGGTGTAGTCATAATAATTAGGTCACATTTTCTTCTCTTCTTTTATCTTATTTATTTGGAGTGTTTGAATAGTGAGAGAAAAGTTTTATCTTATTTACCTGGAGTGTTGTATGAATCGACAGCCGACTGAGCACACAAGCGTATGATGAAGGTCAAGTCTCAGCAGTCCAGGCTTCAGCGACCAATGAAGAGAGACGAGAGAGAGAGCATGCGGCAAGAAGGCGGGGGAAATCTGACGACCATAAAAGAGTACAAGACGGAAACGATCTTAATGGACGGCGTTGTTTTTCCGGTGAGTTTCGAGAAGGCTTTTCCCGGCGGCCGGTATAAATTTGGGGTTTTAGGTTTATACTTTTGTATTTTTCTTTAAAGTTTGAGTTAAATTGGTGTAAATTAGATATTTGGGTTTTTTTTATAGATTTTAATAGGGATATTGTTTCAATATGTACACATTGCTAAAGAAATAAGATTGGTTTTGATTTGGTTAGCTATCTTTCGAAAATGTTGTTACCTATTATTTATTGTTTTAGTTAATATCTAAATTGCATAAATTTAACATATTATGTATATACAATAATCTGAAAAGTAGGAGGCAAACTTGTGATTGTGGTATTTTTTCAACTTTGATAATACATATACACTTATTAGGAGAGCAAAATCGGGGAGGCCATGGCCCCTTGGCCCCTAACAAGGGTCCGCCACTGAATGTGGTATACCAACTTTTAACTTTATTTTGTAGAGTCGGTTTGCACTTCTCGGAACTTTCATAAGCAATCTTCCATATCCATCTTGCATGCTTAGAAAATCACCTCGCATGCGAATATCACAACCGGCTATTGTAGATTGCCTGCGACTAATAACATTGCTACGAAGTGACAAGATATAATAAATATGCTTCATTAGTTTTTGCTTGCCACTTTTCCCTTCGAACAAAATTGACCCTTTTCCTTTAATGCTAACATATGACCCATCTCAAAATCTTACCCAACCCTATATGTTCTTATTTAATTCAGAAAAATAAGAGTAGTTTCTGGTCATGTGATTGCTCGCACCATTGTCTAAATACCAAACTACGTCTTCATCGGTATTTGCATCAATTTTTGGAGGGATGTATTTGTCTTCGTTCAAGAACCCCGTTTCTTGAATAGTATTCATCATAAAGAACGACCCTTTTCATGATTCGTACCTCCTGCATATGTCTCATTGAGGTTAGCCTCATGATTTTTTATTCGATCTGGGTATCTCAAAGCAAAGTGATCATACTTGTTACACTGATAACATTGAATATTTGAGAGATCCCTTTGTTCACGTTGTTTTCCCTTTTTCTTTTGATCTTCATGAGTCTTAGTGGATTCCGAGTGACTATGATTTTGGGTGTTACCCCGACCACGTCGACCGCCACGTCCACCACCATGTCCTCTTCCTTGATTATTTGAACCCTGACGTCTACCTTTTGATGATTCGGTGTTTCTGTTGGACAATTCAGTTTTGGAATAAAGTAATTTATTATGTGTCTCGATTACTTTGTCTTCACCTTTTATCCTCTTTTCATAGGTTTTTAGGCGACCAACCATGTCTTCAAAGCCTATTTTCTTGAGGTCCAAAACTTGTTCAAGGGCTGCAACAATGTGAACAAATCGTCTAGGTAGGCTCGTAAGAAACTTCTTCGCAAGTTTATGTTCAGTCATGACCTCTCCTAGTGAGGCGGATTTTGAAGCAATCCCGGATAATTTTGATGCGAAGTCAT